GATCTGTCCATTGGTGTGAGTGGGGTGTTAAAGTCTCCTACTATTATTGTGTTACTGTCAATTTCTCCTTTGATGTCTGTTAGTGTTTGTCTTATGTATTGAGGTGCTCCTATGTTGGGTGCATAGATATTTACAATTGTTATGTCTTCCTCTTGGATTGATCCCTGATCATTATGTAGTGTCCTTCCTTATCTCTTGTAACTTCTTTATTTTAAGGTCTATTTTTTCTGATATGAGGATTGCTACTCCAGCTTTCTTTTTCTTCATATTTGCATGGAATATATTTTTCCATCCTCTCACTTTCAATCTATATGTGTCTTGAGGTCTGAAGTGGGTTTCTTGAACACAGCATATATATAGGTCTTGTTTTGTTTTTTTTTTTTGTATCCATTGAGCCAGTCTGTGTCTTTTGGTTGGAGCATTTAATCCATTTAAAGTAATTATTGATATATATGTTCCTGTTGCCATTTTCTTAATTGTTTGGGGTTGATTTTGTAGATCTTTTTTCTTCTCTTGTATTTCTTGACTATGTAAGTCCATTTAACATTTGCTGTAAAGCTGGTTTGGTGGTACTGAATTCTCTTAACTTTTGCTTGTCTGGAAAGCTTTTTATTTCTCCATCAATTTTGAATGAGATCCTTGCCAGGTACAGTAATCTTAGTTGTAGATTTTCCCCTTTCAGTACTTTACATATATCCTTCCATTCCCTTCTGGCCTGCAGAGTTTCTGCTGAAAGATCAACTGTTAAGCATATGGAGTTTCCCTTATATGTCACTTGTTACTTCTCCCTTGATGCTTTTAATATTCTTTCTTTGTGTTTAGTCTTTATTAGTTTGATTAGTATGTGTCTTGGCATGTTTCTCCTTGGGTTTATCCTATATGGGACTCTGTGCCTCTTGGATTTGATTGATTGGATTTCATTCTTTTTACTTTATTCTGCTCTTCAGAAGTTATTTCCACCATTTTATCTTCCACTTCACTAATTTGTTCTTCTGCTTCAGATATTCTGCTATTGATTCCTTCTAGAGTATTTTTAATTTCATTAATTGTGTTGTCTCTGCATGTTTATTCTTTAATTCTTCTAGGTCTTTGTTAATTAATTCTTGCATTTTATCCATTTTGTTTTCAAGGTTTTTGATTATCTTTACTATCATTATTCTGAATTCTTTTTCAGGTAGTTTGCCTATTTCCTCTTCATTTATTTGGACTTCCGTGTTTCTAGTTTGTTTCTTCATTTGTGTAGTGTTTCTCTGCCTTTTCATTATTATTTTTTTTAACTTATTACGTTTGAGGTCTCCTTTTCCCAGGCTTCAAGTTGAATTCTTTCTTCCTTTTCGTTTCTGCCCTCCTAAGGTTGGTCCAGTGGTTTGTGTAAGCTTCGTATAGGGTGAGATTTGTGCTGAGTTTTTGTTTGTTGTTTTTCCTCTGATGGGCAAGGCTGAGTGAGGGGTGTAATCCTGTCTGCTGGTGATCTGGTTTGTATTGTTGCTTATTGTTTAGATGAGGTCTCCTGCACAGGGTGCTACTAGTGATTGGGTGATGCTGGGTGTTATATTCAAGTGGCTACCTTTGTGTGAGTTCTCACTATTTGGAGAAGGAAATGGCAACCCACTCCAGTGGTTTTGCCTGGAGAATCCCAGGGACGGGGGAGCCTGGCGGGCTGCCGTCTGTGGGGCCGCACAGAGTCGGACATGACTGACGCGACTTAGCAGCAGCAGCAGCCGGTTAGTTCTCTGATGGTCTAGGGTCTGGGAGTCAGCGCTCCCAGTCCAAAGGCTCAGGGCTTGAGCTCCGGATCTGATTCCACAGCTGCTTGGCTTCCTGCCTCAGCCGTCCCAGCTCATTCATCCTTGAACTTCCTCACAGCAGAAACTAACAAGTGAGAGCCCTGGGGGGAGATCCATTTTGTTTTCAAGGTTTTTGATTATCTTTACTATCATTATTCTGAATTCTTTTTCAGGTAGTTTGCCTATTTCCTCTTCATTTATTTGGACTTCCGTGTTTCCAGTTTGTTTCTTCATTTGTGTAGTGTTTCTCTGCCTTTTCATTTTTTTTTTTTTAACTTATTACGTTTGAGGTCTCCTTTTCCCAGGCTTCAAGTTGAATTCTTTCTGTCCCAGCTCAAGCATCCTTGAACTTCCTCACAGCAGAAACTAACAAGTGAGAGCCCTGGAGGGAGCTGGGGCCCGCATGGGCCGGGGGTGCGGAGGTGGGCTGGGCGCTCGGCAGCCCGGCACACAGAGCCGGCATGCAGAGCATGCGCCCTGCAGAGACCAGCACCGTGGCGTCCCGACCACACCCGGGCCGCGCCGCCCAGCAGTCAACTCCGCGGCGCCACGGGTTGCTTTAATAGTAGTATTTAGCGAAGCTTTCAGTTCAGTTGCTTGTTACAGATGTAATATAGTTTTCTAAGTCCCATTTGTTTTTTTCCCCACCAAATAATTCCTCTGAGATTAGGCAGGCTATTTAACATTATCTCTTAACAAAAACCAAAAACAAATTTACCAGAATCATCAAAAAAGATAAGTACCAGGCCTCTTTTAACAAGAGAAATAGCTATTTAGATATCTTCTTATATAATAGGCATTGATTTGAATAGGACAATTAGTATAAAAAGTCTTAAGAAATTAAAGGCTAAATTTCCCTCAAGAGATTTACTAAACCACTAAACCCCCAAAGCTGGAGCAGTGGGATGAGAAGGGGAGTTACAGACCCCCTTCAAGAGTAACTTTTTTAATGTCAGGAAACATGTTTAGTAAACAGAACCAGATTTTAGTTTTAGAGATTTTTTTTTTTTTTTTTGGTAATCTAACTTTACCTAAACTTTTTTCTACATTTCTTTTTTTAGAATTCCATTTCTTCTAAATTAGAATCTTATCTTTCCAGAGTACACCACCTTTTTTACTACTAGAAATGCACAAAAGTGGGATAATAGAAAATAGTAGTACTATGAGTCCCTTGTGGCTCAGCTGGTAAAGAATCTGCCTGTAATGCAGGAGACCTGGGTTTGATCCCTGGGTTGGGAAGATCCCCTGGAGAAGGGAAAGGCTACCCACTCCAGTATTCTGGCCTGGAGAATTCCATGGACTATACAGTCCATGGGGTCACAAAGAGTCGGACACGACTGCGTGACTTTCACCATGAGTCCCTATATTTACTTTATAGATCAAGAGGTTTAAAGTTTTTGTATAGTATCAAGACTATTGCTTTGCATTCTTGAGATTGCATGCTTTCGTGAGATAGGGGTTGAAAATGGTACGTAAGCTTCAGATTCTCATACCTGTGCCAAAGTCTGAGAGTTATTATTACTGATGTGCCCCTGCAAGTGCCAGAAGTGGCCGATTACTGTCACGCTTTATGTCCCTACAAGCTGTCTCTGGGTTTCTTCAAAATCTGGGGTGCCCAGAGGAGTGCCACATGCAGGAGTGCCATCTGCTCTAAGATGTAAAGCGGAAACAGGGATCAGAAGCACTGACTTTGATGACTTAACCCTTTAGATTTAGTGGAGTGCTTATCTGAGCCAGGGACAAGCAAAACTACAAGTGTCGGCCAGCACAGCGCTGCCCCTCTGAGGGCGGCAGAGGGGCCCCCTCTGCCTCTGCAGGCCTTCACTCTCGGAGGTCTTAACCGGTGGAAGGCAGCATGGTTCGAACTGCCTCACCTTCTCATCCTCCGACAACAGCTACATTCTCTCCCCAAAGGGTCTTCTTTTAACACTCAGTCTCTAAAAAGTGACCAGCAGTAACTGTGGCCACCAACCATTCCTAGGAGAGCCTTCCTAGCTCTGCCATGCAAGCCCTGAGCTCATTTCAACCATCCCTACAGGGCAGAGGGAGAGAAGGTCCTATCAGCTGGGCTCGGAAGAGAAGTCTTAGAATCTTCAGCCACAACCCTAATACACAAAGAGCTCTTACAGGCTGGGAAGAAACAGACAAGCCAGCTGAAAAATGGGCCAGAGATGTGAGTGACTCTAGAGCAAAATCAGATGGCCAGGAAATTTGTGAAAAGATGCACAACGTCACTTATATTAAGTCTGTTGTTAGATCCCTCACACTAACACAAATGAAGAGGTGTGTCAGCCAAAGCTGGAAGAGAGGCTGAGAAAAGAGCATACTCATGTGCTCCTAGTGGAGATGGGAAGGCTTTAGGAAAAGCAGTCTGCAATTTCTGTTAATTAAAAACACATATAATCAGGGATCCAACTCCTGGGAATCTGTTCTGTATAACTAAAAAGGACCGATATGTAAAGTAACATGTATTAGGATGTTTGTCAGAGTTGTTTAGAATGGCTAAAGACTGGAATCAAAGGAATGCCTATCGGCAGGAGAACGGCTGGGTAAATAATGTATAGTCACCCTGGGGAATATTATGCCACCATTAAAAAGACTGGATTGGAGCTCTGCCAGAGAGATTTCTGGAATAATGGTTCAGGAAGAAAAGCAAGATGCAGAAAAATGTGTATAATATGATCTTGTATTAAATAATAAGTAGATCTGTATAGGGTATACAGATTAAAGATTTCTCATATATATATGAAGAAAAATAAGGAGACACACGATGGGTTGAGGAGGGTAGCAGCTGATGTGAAAGGAGAAGGGGAAGAAGTAAAGACAAGGGTGCTCAGGAAGCGTGCAGGTGGTCGTGTGTCCATTTAGGCAGAGTTATATATATGGCAGAGTCTATATTTATATTTATGTATAAATAATAATTGTATAAAACAATCCCCAAGTGTGTGAGTCAGGCAGGCCTAGGTAGCTTAACTCTGCAGGCTGGAGGAGACAGTCCCATGGGGTATAGTGTGCTGCCATCTGGCCCTGGAGGGGTCCCAGTGTGTGAGCTAGCTTCAAGCGGGTAGTTCGCTGTCCCCTGCCTGGGCAAAAGGAGATTCTTTTATCCAGAGAATGGGGGGGGGGTGCCATGGGAGGGCACCCACCTCACTCGTCTCCCCAGCAGAGGGCAGGCACTCAGGGGACACTGCATTAAACAAAATAAGCCTGATCTTACGCTTCTTAGCTCCAGCTCACTTGAGTCCTCCATCTCCCCATCTGTCAGGGGAAATGGTGAGATTAGTTGCCACTAATAAAACAGGTGGCTGAAATCAGATAATGCAAGTGATGTCACTACTGGACTCACCAGTGCTCGTATCATTTCGAAGTATAAACAAAAGGAAGCTCCCAGTATTTACTGCGCACACATGCTCACCTGAAGATCTTAATGGCTAAAAGGCAGTGCTGCTTTTTTCTTTAACATTTTATATACAATAGAGGAGGTAGTTTAAGTAAGAAGAATTCTGAGGATTTTTTTTTTAAATACAAAAGGTGAATTAAAAATAATCATAGATCCATTTCCCCATCATCAACCAAATTTATTTTCAGTTCCTCAGTTGATCTTCCTGCAAAATAGGAAAGTAGAAGATAATATACAAAAGTAGAAGATAACATAGCAAGGTAGAAGATAATATAGGAAGGCCTAGTTCACAGGAGTCCTGTGATATGCATTTCTTCCTTACTGATTACCCCCCAAAACCAAACATCTATTAACTGATATGGGTAGGTAAAAAGAAGAAAATGAAAATTTAAACGTTCTCTTCATTTTTCCTAAACAATTTTTAAACTATCAGAAATATGCCAGTGACAGTGATTGTTTGACTTAGGTCCATTCACTCCATCCACTCTTTCAAACTCTTCTTGTGTACCTGCTCAGGGCCAGGCATGTGCTTGCTACCCAGGATGCCAAGAGGAGAACCACATAGTCCCTGCCCTCCAGAAGCCTGCCATCTGCTGAGGAGAGATGCTTCAGCATGCTAACGCCCATGATAAAGGTCAGAGCAATGTTCACTCATGAGGACTGGGGAGGGGTGGGTTTGGGACCCTAACACAAACGTTCATGCCGACACCCCTGATTAAATATCCTTTCCCTACCTTGCCCAGGGTACAACAGTTACTAAAACACATCACCAGAGAGCTGAATCTAAAAAATAAACCTGCAGTTCTTTAGTTGTATAATCTGGCTTCCAAGCTCATATTTTAAATAAAATTTCTTCAAGCTAAATAAAAGCTCTGGTAGCATGAAGTTAACAGTGGAAATTTTTGAATCCAATTTCAGGCAGAAAAAAAAAAAAAACTGGAAAAAAGAGTAGACTTTAGTTATTTTATGAAAAAGGAAAAAGTAGTGTTGGTGGTATGATGCTTCTGAATTCTCCTTTGACAAGTTTTCATTCTATTATCTATTAATTGGAAGGGGTGATGTCTAAGCTGGTGGAAGATAAGACATTTGTGTTAATTACCTCTGCGTTTGATGGTCTCTGAAGAAGTTGTATTCTTTTAATAACTTATGAGATTAAAACCCAGATTTCTCAGTATGATCTCCCAGAATACCAATATAGAGAATAAGGGAAGAGATCAGAACCTGGATGAATAGTTTGTAAATAATGGTGTAAATACACCATGAATGACTATAACATTGAGAATCATCCCGTAAGCCACCCACGTTAATTTTATTATTTTATACTTACGCTTTACACATACAAAATATCAGGCAAGCCAAAGGCCAAAGAACCAGGCAATGTTCTCAAAAGGAAATAACAGATGAATTAAAGCTCTGCTTGTCCATCCAGGGTTAATCACTTTAGGCGGATTAATCCAGCAGAGTTATAAACAAGTTTGTGTAGGTTGAGCCTGGCTGGATCTTAGGTGAGAAATTCACTCTAATGTGAAAGCCACACAGACTTGTGTGGAAACACTAAAAACATTTTTATCCACCAGTAACTTTAATCAAAGCAGAATATAATAATTAATACAAATAATTACCTGTGACAACTGACATATCAAGGAAACCACAATTCATCTGTTACCTGTCCATCTCTGTTGAAATATTAATTTACTACCATGTATTAATCTATTTATAAACATATCCAGACAATTAGTAAAATTAGGCTGTAGTCAGCAGGCTGAAGCCTTAAATGAATTAAAAATGCTTCCAAATTATAGAGGATGGATACCTCGGTTATGGAATTAAGTGAAAAAGTTTAGAAAAATGTTACACATGGAGTGTAAAAACTGTACGGACCCACAACTAATTAACTGGTATACAGAGATATTGTCTAAATGTCAATAGAGCAAACTGCTCCTGTCTGTTCCGAAAGATCAGAAAATCCCTTTGTTTGAGCACGGTAGGGACAGCGGTCTTTGTCTGAGCATCTGGCTCGCATTCAGTTTCTCGCCAAATTGGGAAGAAAGTCTCAATTAGAGAAAGGGCCCACTTTTTGTCCTGACTACAACAAGGCAACTTTAATGAGGGGAGAGCACATTATTTTCGATATTCCTAAATAACTTTTTTTCTGGACGAGAGATGGTAGAGAAGAAGCAAAACGAGGTGCACAAAGAAACTGCAGGAGGCCTTTACGCAGAATCCCGGGTCCAAACGCATCTTTTACGATAAGGACAACCGGACCACGGCGGAGGGCATGCGGGCCCCCGGCGCGCCCGGTGTCCGAGCGCCGGCGGTCCCCGGGGCCCGGGGCTGGTCCCCAGCTCACTTCTCCAGCCGGCAGGCCCGGGGGACCCCCCCCCACCTCTCTCCCTCCGCGGGAGTCCCCCGTCTCCCCGCGGGCGCGCCGCGGCGATCTCGCCGCCCACACTCACCCCATCACCTCGGAAGCGGGCGGTGGGCCGGGGGTCCGGGGTGGCAGAGCCCCTCCGCGCCCCTCGTAGACACGTCGTCCTGTGCGGAAACCTCGCGCGTCCCCCTTAAAGACACAGCGCTCCGTTTGGGAGCCTGGGCTGGGAAGGGGGCGTGGGGGAGGACCTGTTGTTGGAAGGGCTGGGAAACCACTCCCTGACCGTCCAAGTCCACCAGCGACAGACTTGCGTTTGCCCAGGTTTAAAAAGGATGTAGTAGGTTAGTGATTTTTTTACAGGTATAATTACACTTTTATATCTTTATATTAATCTTCCAAGACCTGGGTTCCTGGGCTTGAATCTCTGAGTGTAATTTTCATCCTTTCAGGTTCAAGATGTGTGATGCCACAAGATGCCAGAAGAAATGCCCTGAACTAAAGTCTGGACAGATAAAGGTAGGGCTCACTGGTGTTCACAAAAACCTAGTAATGTTAGTGTGGTGTATCAGTCAGTTTTTGGTGGATTATGCTGAGGTAACAAACAACCCCTACAGCTCAGTGATTTACAAAAACAAAGATCCATTTCTCAATCAAATTACATCTGCTGCAGGCAGCTTTGGCTCTTCTCCACCCCTGTTTTGGCTTCCAGGATCCAGGTTGAAAGATCAGCTTGTGGGGGGACATGCTGATTGTATGCTGGAAACCACCTTGAGGGAAGAGTCCTCCTAATTTGTGGGTGTTTGCTATTTCCATGATGTAAAGACTCACAACCATGAAGGGCTTCGGGTTACTAATGGTTTAACAAGTGGCTTGCCAAGTTTCTGGAAATGTAACAATCAGCTCTTATAAACCACTGGCGCGTGCTGCTCCTAAAACTGAAAACAGTTCACATTCCACATACCTAAGTTCTGCTGGCTTCAGTTCTGCTCACATTCTGTCGACCAAAGCAAGTAACTTGACAAAGCCTCTCAGTGGGGCCAGAAGGTATATTCCTCTTATAAAGAAGACTTGCCAGTCACGTGACAATGGGCAGAGATTGTATCGCCCTTTTAAGAGAAGTTGAGTAAATAACTAACGCTGAATATTCATTGGAAGGACTGTTGCTGAAGCTTCAATACCTTGGCCACCTAATGTGAAGAGCCAGCTTATCGGAAAAGACTCTGATGCTGGGAAAGATTGAGGGCAAGAGGGGAAGGGGGCGGCAGAGGATGAGACAGTTAGGTAGCATCACCATGGACAGGAATTTGACCCAACTCTAGGGAACAGTGGAGGACAGAGGAGCCTGGTGTGCTGCAGTCCATGGGGTCACACAAAGTCAGACCCAACTTAGCAACTCAACTACAACGAATAACTGGTTACAATAACACAATCCATTTTACATACTTTGGTTCAAGTAATTTTTTTAAACCTCATTATTTCCATAAACCAGAGTTTATTAACAATCCATTAATAGGATTTCTCCTTACCATTCCAAGAATGGTGTCAGAAGAAGAAACTGGTTGGGTGTCTTCAAGGGGATAATTTGCAATGTGAAGATAAGCTATTAGGTTACTACTTTTCTTTTCTCCAAAAAGATGCCCATACTTACCACTGTGGACATCTGATTAAAATAATAATTGGCTGGTATAAGTGAATCAGATTAAAGGTTATCTCTTATTCATCATTTAATTAATTAATCACAAAATTTAATTAATTACAAAGCTTATTGTACCTGATGATCCTTTTAACAAGAGATCTTATCACTTTGAGTACCTTAAAAATCCATTTGACAAACTATCAACAGACTTGTGCTGCCCAGGTTTAAAAATGATGCAGTAGTTTAGTGACTTTTCCCAGCACCAGAGTCTTTTCCAGCGAGTCAGCCCTTTGCATCAGGTGGCCAAAGTATTGGAGCTTCAGCAACAGTCCTTCCAACGAATATTCAGGGTTAGTTTTTAATTCAATGTTTAAACTTTCTAATAATCTGAAATCTCTTGTAGTTTTAAAGTTTAAATCAAATTATAAAATATATGTCCCTTGCCCCATACTCTTTGTTCAAATTTCAGCAAGAAAAACACTCTTTAGTTCTTATTTTGGTGGTAACAGTTTCCCTGACTTTCATCATGCTGTTAATGATAAACAGATAGGATCTCATTTCTGTCCCCTGCCCTGGAAGTTGGCAAAGCACGAGGACTTCCATTGATAATGCAGGATATTCACTCTCTAGATTCTTGCCAGAGATTATACTTTCAAATCTGCTAATTAATCCTTATTAAAAGTCCAGTTTGAGAAAATTACTTACGGGTGTTGCTTTAAAGACTTGAAATTATGGAGCTGTGGACCTGAACCACACTCTTTGGATNGATGCAAAGAACTGACTCATTGGAAAAGACCCTGATGCTGGGAAAGATTGAAGGCAGGAGGAGAAGGGGATGATAGAGGATGAGATGGTTGGATGGCATCACTGAGTAAATGGACATGAGTTTAAGTAAACTCCGGGAGTTGGTAATGGACCAGGAAGCCTGGCATGCTGCAGTTCATGGGGTCAGAAAGAGTTGGACATGACTGAGCTACTGAACCGAAGGTTGGTAGTAATGTCTTCTCTTTCACTTCTGGTTCCTATATGTGCTTTTAATGAACTTTCCGTTGGGTTCATGCATGGCTCCAGTGAGGTAGTTTTTATAGGACGTGGCTACATAAAATTCATTTTGGGAGCCAGTATCACAATGTCCTTGACTATAGTTGTCCACTGTATTCCACAGTGTTTTTTCTGTAGGGCCCAGAGAGAAGCCCATTTTCTGATCTCTCATGTCATGGAAAGCTCTGCATCTCATGAACAAATGAGACTTGAATCCTGTGGGCACTGTGGTTCATTTGTTGGCCTGTTTGCTTGTTTTAGCTTCTAGGAAGACAGAGTCAAACACGAGACGGCTACGCTATTCATTTCCTAGGGCTACTGTAACAGGGTACCACCAACTAAGTGGCTTAAAAACAACAGAAATGCACTTTATCCCAGTTCTGGAGGTTAAAAGTCTGAAATCAAGGTGCCAGCAGGGCTGTACTCATGTGAAACCTGTAGAGGGAGAATCCTTCCTTGCCTCTTCCTACGTTCTAGTGGTGGTCGGTGATCCTTGGTTTACAGTGTCATCACTCCAATCTCTGCTTTTTTTGTGGCATTCTCCGTGTGTGTGTGTGTAGGTGGGTGGGTGGGGGTGTCTAATTTTCCCTCTTACAAGGACACCAGGATGGAGCTTGGGTTAAGCTCTGTTCTAATGATTTCATCTTAACTTGATTACAGGTGTGAAAACCCTACTTACAAATAAGATCACATTCAGAGGTACCCTGGGTGGGGTAGGGGGAGATACAGTTTAACTCATGACACTTACCTACCAGTTCCATAACAGTAAACTTTTCTGCGTGCTAATCTTTTCTTATATTTATTTTCCTTTTGTCCCAGTTCCCTGTATTACTTAGTTTTTCCCTAAAGATAGTCATCTTTGGCAGTGTCTGAAGGAAAGAAGGCAGAAAGGAAGTGAGGGAGGGGGGAAGAAAATGGAAAAGAGAGCAAGGGAGGGAGGAAGAAAAGTTTATGCCCCCAATTAGACAGAGTTGCAGGAATGGGAAGTGAAGGTGGGGAAGACTGGCTGGAAAAGTATTTTTGCTGAATGAGCTTTGTCAGAGTCCCAGAATTATTCTCTTTGTAGGAGTGAGAGCAGAGATCAAAACCAGTCAATCCTAAAGGAAATCAGTAATGAATATTCATTGTAAGGACTGATGCTGAAGCTGAAACTCCAATACTTTGGCCACCTGATGCAAAGAACTGACTCATTGGAAAAGACCCTGATGCTGGGAGGGATTGGGGGCAGGAGGAGAAGGGGATGACAGAGGATGAGGTGGCTGGATGGCATCAC